TCTGGTCTGGTCCGTCTGTCTTGTCAGGTGCAGGCAGTAGTCCCCACTACTAGTACTGCATCAGTCAGCAGCCACCTTAGGCTACAGTACATGTAATTACAATGTGTACAGACATTAAAGTTACGCACTTGTCTCAAATTATACCAAGTAAATTGGTAGTTAAAATGCAGAATTGGAATTTTTCTCACCTGATATTCCTCTTGGGTCAACAAATCATCTGATCTGGTCCAATCTGTCTTTGCCACGGCAGTTTTTGCCTCGGAGAGAAGGTTTCGCGTTGTTGGATCGCGAAACCTTCTCTCAGTGGCAAAAACTCCCTCGGCAGCAAATCGTCCCTCGCGGCCGCATATTACCGCGTCGCTCAAAATAACGCCGACGCCCAACAAGACTGCGAAGGAGGCTATTACTTAACTAAGTGCAGCGTTAACTCGTGGGAAACTTATTATCGAAATTCTGTCGTTTTGTTTCATTTAACTTAAATGAGATTTATCTATAGTAGTCCGGAGAGTATCTACGTCAATTTAAAGCACAGCTTACCACCAAAGCGGACGTGGCGCGTCTTCCTGAGTGGAATTTTTACCCGCTCGTTCTTCCCGTCCATGCACAATCGCCATGTTGGAAAGGCGTGTTTCACGCATGTGCGTCATGCCACCTGTAAATCATGAGCAAAATTTGCATTCGATAATCAAGTTTTAGATTAGACCAACGACAAGCCAATAGACAATCATCACACATGCAGGCCTGAAAAGATACGATGATTTGATTATGGCTTTCATCTTACGAATTCGAAATTCTCAATGTTGATGTCCTCATCATTCAACTTTATAAAAAGAGGCAGAAAACACACATTAATTTTCCAATAAACTATCTCTTTTTTACCCATTTATCTTCTGATTACGACAAGAACATTTTCTAGCTAGTTGTAGGTGACAAATTACAAACATTACAATTATTGCGACAATTGCCTCTAGGAATTCCAATACGTCAAAAATGACTCAGTACAAGAAGAGTAAATTTAACGCGACATGCGCGCTTAATAAATACATGTATTACATTTGTGTACTGCGTACTTTGAGTGTTTATTTCTCTTTATCGACGATTGTTAAACTGAAAATCCAATTCTTCCCATATCATAATATCAACGATAAGATCACAAAGTTACAAAATATAGCCGAATATAACCGACGACATATAACCAATTTTTGACTAAAAGGACGCTTGTTGCGAAGCAAGTCTTACATTTTCAAACGTTATTCAATAAAATGGTCATTTGACAGGTCTTAACTGAGCACTAATTTAATTAAAAGGAGGACCAATCAAATCATCGGACTTCGTCTGATAACGAGGCTCAAAAATATGCATACATTAAGTCTAAGTGCCTCATTACGTCATACGAGGTAGTTACGTCATCGTCCAAGCGAACATGTGCGGGGTTAAATATGGGCATGATTGGGTGTAAACATTAGCGTTTAAAGTATAGATAGCGCAAGTAATTACAGAACTAGTAGTTGCAATATTTTCTATATGATCCATTCTTCGCGTCTAGGTGTTTCCTGAACGGTTAGAACTGATATTAAGAACAAAATCAAAGCAAATATGTTCAGTAACGAAAAATTAGACAAAAATTAATCAAACGCATAAACTCCGATTTTTCGCTCCAGTTTTTCCACCAAATCCTTTCTAGAAGTGTAATAATTCATACCTGAGGTATCCAGAAAAATCTTTCCATCCCTGGCGAACATGCACCCTTCTTTACAAAGTTTACTCCCTCACTCTTTAGTTCATTGGATGTATTCACAGGCGCCATAATACCAATTCATCACACGTGTCAATGACGGCCTCTAGCAGTTCACAGAATTATTGCAGGTACTTGAGGGATTGTTACATGCAATAATTTCACCGACTGCTAGAAGTCGCTTTTGATACATGGCGCAGAGGGTCATCAGCCTATGTATCCTTGATGTTGATTGGTTGTCATCACGGCAACGTTCTTGAGTCATTAAGCCTGATTGGCTGATAAAATTCCTCGTTGGTGCTTGGTTAGAAATAACGATGACGTATCACTTTACGACCAAATATGGGCAACCGACTCGAAACCATAAAGCCGCTTAACTTTTCATGTAAACAACTGAAATTACGAAGGATTTTCGGAGGAATGGGACTATTTTGGGCAATTTATAATATGTTCCCCCAGATAAGCTACAGAGTTGTAAGAACTGCCTGCCTTTACAGAGAAAAGGAGCCGATTTATGAGGTTAGGGGAGGTGAAAATGCTCGGCAACCGCGTAATATTCTTACGAACAGGGGAGGGGGCGTTGTGTAGGGATAACTTTCAGCACCAAGGACAGGGATAGCTTCAGTTTGAACCTGGTCTTTTCTTCATGACAACAAACTGAATATTAACTCACCGACTGCAATATACGAAGGAAATCAATTTTGTGAATTTTTCGGTGCCAATCTCAATATCATTATGAATGGAAACAGAGTAGATGCAAGGCGTAAACTACGGCGATCCCCAGTTACGATTTTGTCTCCCACCATCTGCTTGGTTTACATTCATATGGTAATGAGATCGACACGGAAAATTCACTTCTGCAAAGAGACTGCAAGCGATCAGCTGATCGCAAGATCACTTTTTGGTGTATAAGACTAATATAGAATGGTTTATTATTCGATACAAACTCATCGCAGCTCATGAGCTGAATTGCGAGTTCACATGTAACATTTTTAGCATAAATGTAAAATTCAAGTCAAGCTCACAATATATAATAATGTGTATAGTAAAAACAAAAATTGATATGCATGACTAAGAAATGAAGCACGGCTTTCTATTGACATCTTTCATCAGCTGCTAAGGATTGTAGATTACCTGTATGTATAGTATTGTATACTGTGGGGTAGTAGAAAATAGCGGAACAAAGAGGCAAATGTCAGTCAAAAAGGTTCACTTTATTTTTCACAAATAGAAAAATACAAAGTACAGACTACACATCAACACAAGGTACACCCTATGGAAACAGACCATGTACGGCTGCACTGCTGGTATCTAATATATACAGACATGGGGGATATTCACGTATATCACCGCCCAAGAATATGCTGTCTCTATACATTTTCATCTTTCTACTGAGAAGGGATTGAAGCATATACACAGGCAACATCTACATCTATTTTGTATACATATATAGATATATCTATAGATATATTTCTTTATACCACACTTGCCACTTGGATATAGTACAAACACGCTTTCTTCTCAGTGACTACCGATTGTCAAAATCTACAGGGTGAACACAGCTTTTTTCCTACCATGTGATGTCCACATTGTGGGACAATAATTTAGTACAATTGCATACAAACTCTGCCTATGACAAACACAAAGAATAAAACTATAGTGAAGTACCATACAGCTGGAATGATATCAAACAAGGAATGGCCTCTGCAGGAATGGATGACTTCACTGGAATTACTCTAAAATGTGTGACCAATTCGTTTGGCAATCTCAAAGATAATACGGTTGCATGAATGTACAAATGCATCATATTCAACTCCAGATTTGTATATCCCCAGTGTTAAAAAAAGTCCTATATTTTTTTTCATAGCTGTACCAATTTGGCAGTGTGGAGTCACCTGTGTTATGCTGAGAATTTAATTTAACCATATCAACAACTTTTAAATTTCACAAATGTACAGCTCTAGGACTTTGATCACCTTTCATTGTGCTTGTTCAAGGTGAAAGTTAACAGTGCAGTGGGTGGGGGGGGGCACAACTTCTGTTCTACATCGAATCTCTATTGGTGTAAAATATATAAGTGACTGTGTCATAAGAGAATACCTAAGAGAAATGAATTGCACAGCCTTAAGAATTTTCCTGTTCTATGGTAACACATTTGGTCACATTGTGCAGGGTACTTTGGTTACAAAAAACACTTTGTACAATTCTCTGGAGGTAAAACCTAAGAATTCTCACATCTTGGCCATTGTAATTAATGGTGCATATCAATAACAATTATTACATAGTTGCACTTGTCTTTCCACATACTCTAAATACTAAGCAAAAGTAAACTTTTAGAAAGTGATGTTTTTGAATGACATTTACTACATTTTATGACATCCCGGTAGGAAGTAGAGTACTCTCCTCTGAAGAACAATATCTAACCAACATCTCTCCTTGACAATAACATAATATCACACCTTCATGTACTTCAAATCTTTTGAAACTTCAATGGTGTCCCGAGAGGCTACTTCAATAATTTTTAGTCTCAAAAGATTTTGCCATATACCCATTGATTAAACAGCTTCATTGCTTTTATTCAATTGTTAAGTCTCCAGTAAAAATTTAATCTGAAAGTCAATCAATAAATTTTACACAATATTCTGACAGAGATGGATTGATGGCTCCTCTCCATTTCAAATTTGTGAACATTGTAATCATTACATGTACAACATAAAACAAGTACAAGAAGTCTTGCCTGCAAAAATTCAACAAATCAGTTGGGAAAACGAGAGCAGTTTCACAAACATCTACATACATGTACATTGTACCTACTGCTGGTCCCATACACAGTAACAGACAATAATCCAGACACCTCTGATCACAAGCAACATCCACGGAAATGTTGGGACAATGTAACACATATTGTATGAGCATCGCATATACAATATACATACAGCACCTTTGAAAGATCTTGTGGAAATACACAGGCAAACTTTTGAGAATGATCTTAACAAGATGGCTGACCTACCGCGTATTAAGTCTTTACAGACAACAGTTGGTTGCCACAAATACATCTATTGAGATCTTTTTTCCTTGCACATAAAAATGTGTTTTAAGCAGTTGCAACAGTAGGAGAAGCTGACTTTTAAACATATATTGTTGCATCTGTTTATATCACAATGTACTGTGAGCCTGGGTGAAATGTTTGTATATCAAATAGAGTTCTTTTTACATGAGAGCTAAGGCAGAGTTTACATCTACTGGAGCACTGATCACAGTACACCCTTTGAAAACAAGGGTGTCAATATTGCATGTCAAACACACTAACAACTGAGAAGTACAGTGGCTGGACGGCCTCCATTCTATCACACCTGCTAGAATAACATTTCAAGTTAAACACGGATCACAGACTTTAACAGGAGGTTGGACAGCAACAACTCTGTAGGAGTCCCCCAAAGATTGCTATGATAGATGCACTGTATATACTTAGATATGTACATCCTCATCACCAAGGGACTTTGATTGCAAATCTGGACAACAAGAATAATTTACACTTTTGTAATTTACATACAGTTGTTTTCTGTGTCTTCTAAACTGTATTACAGTCACAATTCTCCAGGATATCTGATGACAGCCATACAACATAGCTGTCCCATACTGTGCCCACACACACATCTCTGCTTTGATACATGTCATCACGTTGCAGTGTTTTACCAACCCTTCATTAGTGTAAGATGGGGAATGTCTGTGTGTGTCCATCTGTACACAGGGTCTGGGTTGGTTTAAAAGTCTGGCGAATACCGGGCTCCAGAACCATAAGTCTGTATTGCCTGATTGTGCAGTTTCACAGTGCAAAAATAAAGTTCCTACAGGTAAGAAGTGTTGGATGGCGCACAGCTGGTGAAAGGTGACCGGTCTGTCCGTTAGGGGGGTCCTGGGGGTTTGTCTCCCTCCCCTTGCAGTCTCCTACAAGCAAGAAGGAAATACATTGCAGTATTAGTTTATGTGCTATTACTTTCTCTGAACTAACACTGTGTAGAGGGAATATATGAAAATCCTTCTGCTTGACCTAAGTACCAACAATAATGAAGTTATCAGAGTGGAAGAAAACACCTTCACTGTAAAGCACTCAGAACTGGTACGAAAGGGTCTTGGAATATTAAGATTCTAAAGCATTTCGGCCTAAGCTTTGATGTTAGAAAAATGGTAAAATGCTTTAGAAGTGTTTTGTTACATTGTGGATAGTGGAGGTGTACCCCAAAGTAAATTTGTACCCAAAGACCTGAAGCATTTTTTGCCCACCTGAGATAGTCCTCGTGATGCTGCTGCATGTAGCGCTGCTGCTCAATCAGTCTCAACTGCTCAGCCTGCGCTTGAGCTGACAACTGCTGGGAGGCGCTCATGTATGGTGGGATCAGCCCTTCATACTGCCGAGACAGCACAGTTTCCCGATGGATCTCATGCTCCCGCGTCAGGAACGGGGTCGGACCGCGCAGGAAGGGCGACGGCGGCTGGAACGGGGTTCCCGCCGAGGGTGGTGGGGGCAGTCCCGCCGGCCAGGGGTGCGGGCCAATCAGGTGGGGCGGTGGGACTCCGTAGAGCGGGTCCTGGGGATGCAGGTGTAGGTGTGTGTGGGAGTGGGAATGTTGGTGATGGTGCGGCGTGATTCCAGCCAGCTGTAGTCTCACGATGGGGTCCATGGCCAGCGCCATGTTTCGCTCTGCCTGCAGTCTCTCTGCGTTTAGTCTTTCCACAGGGTTGACGTGAGGAGACTCGGCCATGTGGTGCATGGGGTGGGCCATCCTCTCTCTGTCCAGTACAGAGGAGCCAGGGGGAGGATAAGGTCCAAACGGGCTGGCAAAGGGCGGGGCAGTGCCAGGTTGGTGGCCGGGAGCCATGGGGTGACCACCCTGCCACAGTCTGTGCATCTCCATCTGGCTCATACGGATCTGCTCGTGCTCCATTGCTTTGAGTTCGTAGCCAGGTTTGAACCCCGACTCCCTCATCTCGCGTTCCCGGATCTCCCGTTCTCTCATCTCCCTCTCGCGCAGTTCCCGCTCGCGAATCTCGTGCTCCGGAGCGCCGGGAATGAAGAAGCCAGGCGGAAGGTGGTAAGGCATGTTGGGGTCCTGGGAAGCCATGGCATGCGGACGGGCGTACTCGCTGAGCGTCCGTAAGGCAGGGGTGTCGGGCCCGATGAAGGGTCCTTGTTGGAAGGACAGGGAGGAGGGGAAAGCTGAGCCGTAGTGCCCTTGATGATGGACGTGAGGTCCTGTGATCTGCACATCAGCTGTTGAACACCGCGGTGGTGGGCTGGTAGGAGGCCTCCGCTGGAAAATAATACATACAATGACATTGATTGACTTTCAATGCTTTCAAGAAAATATCTTTCTTCAACTGTGTACAATCAAGTAATTGTTACAATCTTGCTCATTTTAAAATACTTCACATTGACATAGTATTACATGTAATTGCTTCCTCTTTTTTGGCAATGAAAACCTATTAACTTGTATAGCGGAAATTTGTGAAGTCTAACTGGCAATAACAGAATGCAGTTTGTCTCACTCTGATGTAACACACACCTGTTTCTCCTCTCTCTCCCGATCCTGCTCCTGTTCTCGTTCCCGTTCCCTCGTCTCCCGCTCGTCCTCCTGTTTCTTCCTCTCCTCCTCGTGCTTGGCCTGCTCAGCCTTCTTCGTGGCCTCGGCGCGCTTCTTGGCGAGCTTGGTGTTCTCCAGCGGGACGAACGTGAGGTCTGTCCGACTGCACGTGTTGTCACGGCGACTGAGATGGCGGATAAATCTGTGGCAACAAACCAGACAAATGTGAGAATGTTAGCTTTTCCAATGCTTTTCCAATGGCAGATAATTTTTTTTTACTTCATGGTTCACCACAAAACAAGGCTCATGAGAGCCACTCAAATGCTTTGGGTTACTGTACAGCCAGTGAGGACAAATGTTTGTTGACCTTGGACTTGCAAAGTTTTATAAATCTGTGACATGTAAAATGTGGGAATGTTAGAGATTTTTGTGCTTTGTAAGCATGCCAAACATTACAGTTTGTCAGTGTCAAAAATGCACAACAGGCTATTTTCTGACCAAGAATAGTATACCATTTAGGCCTTATATCAATGTGGAGACCATAAAAAACAGCCATTCTGAGTGTTTCCTTGCATTTCTTATGCCATCAAACTGCATTTTTGAATACTTGAAAACCAAAGTTACAATGTGTCCAGGATATCAATGTCAATTCTGTATAATATTTACATTTCAAGAAGGCACACTTGAGAATAAAAGTAGCTGTACCTTGCTGAGGCACTAACGTGATCTTGTCTGTCAACCACCACTGCAGGAGGTGACGGGCTCCGGGGCTTCTGGGCACTTCTGGACTGGAAGGGGGGTGCCTGGGCTGGCTGGAGGGGTGGGCTCCCGAGGGGGGGTAGGTTCTCTGGGGGGAGGAGAGGGGGACTTGGGTTCCTGTTTGGGGATGATGAGGGGGACAGCAGGCTGGAGGGGTGGGGGAGGGGGGAGCAGTCTTGGCACTGGAGGGGGGACATCCGGCTCCTGTAACAAGATGGGAAATTTCCTATTAAATCTTTCTACTAGTAACAACCAAACACAACTAACCAAACAAATTTCCAATGATGCTGTATGTTGAGCACTTGCACACATTATGATGCATTTGTTTCCATTGTGTTGGAACAAAGCTTAAGACTTTACAACATTAAGATATACGTGTACATTAACATCAGCATATAAGTATTAAAATGGTGAGTGAAAATTTGGTAGGATTAACAAATGTACGGTAACCTTTTAATACAAGTCAAGTGTAGTATTGCATAACCAGAGCATATGAAATCTACCAGTACTGAAACGTCCTTACCTGCATGGGAGGTGGAGGGAGGGGGTGTGGTGGCAGTGGAACAGGTGGCACTGCAGCAGGTGGCGCGGCTGGTACAGGTGGCACAGGTGGTACAGGTGGTTGTGTGGCCGGCAGCTCCTGCATGGGCGGGGGTGTGGGCAGGCGCGGCACCTGGGGGATGGGTTTGATGGGGACAGGACTGGGCGGCTGGGAGTCCTCCTCGCGGGCGGTGGAGGCCGGCGGCTCGTAGTCGCTGTCGTTGTCGTTTTCTGGACTGGATGGCGACGAATTCTCATCCTCATTGGTGTATTCCTAAGATAATACATGTCATATTCACACTGAGTTGATGGTACACTCATTGGACATACTGGTACATGATGTATCAAAGTTGGAAAAATTATATTCTTTCCTGTTCAAAGATAAATACTCTAAATTACCGGATAGATACACTTGATACTATAAAATCACATACGTAAGTCACAGTTTTTCTTACCTGTATCCCACTGCAGCTTTCTTCATTGATGCTCCCACTGTCGCTGGTGGCAGCTTCTGATGGACTCTCTGATCGACTAGAAGTCTGCAGAAACATAACAAGAACATAAACCTCAGTTTGAGACCTTTCAAGTACAACTCCATCATGTGAGGATACTCCCTAGTGTAAACATAATGCTATGGAATATCATTAAACGTGTATGTATGTGTATATTTAGCGTGTATTATCTGCCATTTTCCCTTTGCGGTTACCTGTAAATGTCACTGCACTTAGGAACTTGATTGGAAACGTGCATAACTTGAATTTGCTTTTATTTTGACAATAGCCATGTACATGTATAGGGTAATGGCAATACACATAATTTTTGTTTGACAAGTTAGTATATAGCTCACTGATTATTTTCTGCCAATGCTGGCTGTTATTAAGTTTGCAATTTTGGTGCAACTGTGCAATAGAGATGAAGATGAATAATCCTAATTGGGTGTGTCATGTACTGTGGTAACATTCCTGCATATTTTAACTCCTATTTTAACACGTATGTTAAGGTTTTTTCTTAGGTTACCCAGAAGATCTAAATGTATATGAAGGATGGTACACAGTTCCTGCCCACCACTGTTATGCACCATGTAGTCTCCAATGATTTTTTTGCACCCTTCCAATGCCAGTCACGTTCAGTGTGCTTGACCCCTTGACCTACGATCAGATCACACATTCATGGTGCCTGGGTGAAAGCTGGGGATAATGTGGAACTTCCCTTCTACAGGGGCGGCTAAAGTAAAGTCATGATACTGCATCTACATGTGACAAGGATGGGTGAGATAGGAACATCCATACATGTGGCAGGCTTCAAAATATTTGGATGCATAGAAAGTGACAGGCAAATTCCTCATTGATCATTATTAGGCCGCAGGTGGAGAGCCTTCCTACATTCCCCGCACCCACACAAATGTGCATCAACAACCCACTTTGGAGGCCATAATCACTACTGGCTGCTTCTGAAGTTTGTATTAAAGTGTACGCACAGTAGGACGAGGGCTCTGATGAGAATTTGATGTGTGCAACACTACTGTAACATCTGGAATTGTCAAATTCACCAGACATCACTATTTACGGCATATAGAACATCGTTCATCCATACAGATTGCAGCAAACAGCCAAAAATCAATACACTTTCCTGGTCTTACAGTTGGTTTCCCATTTGCCTGATATGCAGGGATAATAACTGCGAGGAATGGAAGTCACATTTGTCACTCAAAAGACCTTAGAAGGCATACAAGCCTTCATTTTTTCAATGTGCAAAAGGAAATATTTACTGATCAGAAGTAGCCATTTGGCTACCCGAAATTTGCTACTGGTTACTAGTACGTGGTTAGGCAGCAGGGAGGTTAAAATAATATATGTGAGTTGCAGGGAGAACGTTCACCCCTAATTTGTGTTGATATGTGCACACTGCAATTTCTGCCCTTTTCTGAACCCTGCCCTATACACTGGATGGCTTCAATTCCTGAGCTTAAATTGAACTTTGCAGAAAAAATCCATACAACTGCATAGCAAACAGACATCTCCCTACTCCTTAAAGTCTGCCATCAACCAGACTATAACTACACCTTTTCAGAAAACCCTTTTCAGCCAAAATTCTTTAATTCTTCAACATTTTCTTTTAAGGCTCAACATGTCATTTCAAATCACAGTACATGTATACTCTTTTCTTTTTAAAGTTAGAAACCATCCTCTCTACCAGGAAAATGTACATATATAAGAACATGCAAAGAACTCAATCTCTGCTCTTTCATGTCAATAGATATAATCTCAGGCACTCAAGAGAGAGGGTGGCAACATCTGCAACACTTTCATTTCTACATCTTAAATAACCAATGTATGGAGTTCAAACGGTCTTTGTCATCACAAGGCATAGCGTTGAAAACCATCAACATCTGAGTGGTCTCCCCCTTTTGTGGTGAGGCAGAATAAAACTGATGTAGACTGCCACTAAATGGCTCTCGAGTTGAAAGCAAACGCTCCGTGTTTGAAAACCTTTCACAGCCAGGAGTTAAAAGGCTCCATCCTGTGTTTCGACCCTTTGAGGCTGAAGTCATTATGAGGTGAACATTAAGCGGAGGAGGGCTGCAGATCTGTATTTGGTGTCTTCTGATGGGGAGAGAATACCATTCGTACTGGCATTAGTGGACATGAGTAGAAAGGCAACCTGTGGAGGATGAGGGGAAAAAGAAGTAGAGGAAAAACTGTCCACTGACAGAATAAAACAGGTGGCTTGAGATATTAACAGGGCTGAGGATATATATTGTTGATATATGTACTAAAACGATACACAATTTTCCTTTCCTGTCAAAATCCCTGCCATCTTGTTGGGGACTTATATACATGTACTAAGACATTTCGTAGACAGATGCAGCTCAGGTTTTCTTGCTTACTAACAAATGTTATTTTGAGATACATTTGTAGTTACGGAGGTACTACTTACAGCCAGAACAATGTAAAAACAAAAGGATGGTACAAAAACACGGAAATGAAGGGGGGGAGCCACATTTAGATCTGCTTTACTCTAAACCAATGGGATTTCTCCAATAGTTTGGAGAGAAGCCTTGAGGTATTCAATAAAACAGACTTCCTGCACTTTACTGGTTGGTTTGAATTATGGGCCTGACTTCAGGCCTAGCAGCAGAGAGAGAGAATATGTCCAGAATATCAGCAGCAGGCATCTATTACCCTGCTAAGGTATAGATTTACAATAACAGCGAACACCGCTTTCTCACGGTGAATTATTCTTTACGGATTCAAGAAGAATTGCAACAGACACCGGTTAAATTACTACCACTGAAATCTCAAATGAGAGCTCATTTCTCTGAACAAAAAGGAGTCCTTTTACAAACAAAAAAAACAACACTCAAAATGCTTTCAAATCATGGCTCACATGAACTCTAAATTCACAGACAATCTTGAACGTAGAGATTTAATGTTTAAAAGTGCAAACTTCACCCCACATGCATGCTAAACTTAAGATTATTGCAAACTCCAGAACCTTGCAGCACCCCATCTAAGGAAACACACTACGGTGCTAACTGCAGGAGATGTCCATGAAATTGCTTTACCCAAAGGGTAGTTGCGAAGGCTGTAAGTTAAGCTAAGACATCCTAAGTACCGAGGGACGTTACCAGTCTACACAAGTAGGCAGAGTAATGGCTTTGCGTCCTCGGGAGAACAAATGTAATAGAATATCCGACTGAAATACTGTTGCCGAAAAATGCTGCGGGAAATAAACACTAATTACATCTCTCCCATGAAAGATTACATGACAGAGAAAATCTCCTGCAGGTTGAGAGAAGTGTAGAGTTTTACAGCTCTGTCTTGTCAAAGAAGATATATCAAGGGCCATAAAGTGGCGGCGAGGAGACAGAAATGCTTGTGGAGATGTGGGAATGTTGTGCGTGATGGATGAGAAATGCCAAGAATTCTGAAAGAGAAGGATACTCTTTGTCAGGGAATTTCCTGTCGGCGTATACGCTGCCATTTTTTCTTTTCTGAGCGTAACTTGGCATGTCATATATCCTTCCAAGCAAAGCAGACGTCTTTCGATATGTCTAGAAAAGATACATTTGGTATGACAAGTGAAGCCAATGGTTTGTTGCACAATGATTTCCATTGTCGGGTAGCTTCTCTCTAAGCTCATCTGCTGGCTTCAACCAAACAGCGCTGAAGTCTATGTCTGTTCTTGTTTGCTACCTCATCACTTATCGGGTGCCGAGGGATTTCTTGGCTACAGCAGGCAGGACTGAGGAAACCGGGGTGCAGAGGTTATGTCAAATGGCACCACACCGCCTGAACTCCCTATGCACACTGATGCCACCGGAATTGACAATGACTTTGAAGTTGCATGCCTGAAGTATGAATTACTTGGACCAAAATGACTTTTGTTTCCAAAAGAAGACCTGTAGCTTGACATGTAGAAGTTCAATGAATTGAGACTAACATTTTTTTAAATCTTCCCTGCTAGCAGATTATTTTACGTCAGCTTCATAATAAAAATATAGTTGGCAACCTTTTTTTTCGAGTTAATTAATGATACACAAGACTGTCAACAAGGACTTTCTGTGTTATCCTGGACTTGCCCTTGTATTAATATAACATTATTTTAGTCCTTCCTCCAACTTGGATATCTTTCAGTGTTTATGTGAAGGCTGAAATCTCCCTATCCCATAAATTTTCTACTCAGTCTAAGTCAGCAGGCAGATAACCAATGAAAAACATCAAAAAGAAAATCAAGAGAAAATTGTAAAGCTACAATAAAACTTGAAAATGCACATGGCTGTGGAGCTTTTACCTGCTTGGGCTTTTTATGACGTCCTTCCTCTAAGTTGGTCGCCTCAGACTCCTCAGACAGACTCTTGTCTCGGTGCCGTTTCTTACTGCCCTTCTCCTCATCCTTATTACCCTGCAGGGAGACACAAAACCAAGACGCTGAGTTGTTTGGCCTGACGGCTATTCTAGACTGGTTTACTTCAATAGAACTTCTTGCAGACCTTTGGCCGGAGGGCAAGCTTTTAAATGTACATGTATACTACATAAAACCTAGTGCTAACATCACAAAAAATCTGTTTAGCATGTTTTCTTTCCTAGTTTCTTTCTTAAGGCACCCATCTTCTCAAGATATTGAGAACTGGCAGACCAGGCCAGCTCTGAAAGTGGACTGCTACAGGTCTGTAGATTCCTTCTGAACCGTCTCCAAGAATTCAGACATGCTGACTACCACTTTCCTTCTCTATCTCCCGTCATAGTAGTGGTGTTCAATACACTGGCAGCAGTGGCCTGCCTGGCGTGGCGCCACCCTGCTAACCCCCATATCCTGCCTATTTAGCTGGATCTGCAAAGCCTATTGATTCTCAGTAGCAAAGCTCCACGCATGCAGGGGAGGTAAAGGATGGGTCACAGAGAACTTGACACTGGAGAGACTGGAGATTTATGTGTATTCTGATAGATCTCAGCAAAAAAAATTGTTTCATGATCATGAGAAAAATATCTTACATAGGCCATAATTATTAATATGATCAATCCTCATTTATAACATGCAATGACGAATACATGTAGATCTTTTTTTAGAATTAGTTCTTTTCATAATGTCCATTTTTGCCTGAGGGTCATCAAAAGAGCTAGGGAAGAGAGAACACCATTATGGTTGGGGTGGACTGCAAGAGAAATGGTTATACTCCAAAAACTGTTCTCAGGATTCTGGTCAACTAAAAATGTTAGTTCCACGTTAGAGAAACCTACAATGTAGCTTTCAACTATACAATCCACAAGAAAATAATAATGTTTGACAATGACAGGTGATATTTTGACACTCCCCTGCCCAGAACTTGGCACATCCCACCTGATCCTATCTGAGTTTATGAGAAAAGTGCTGACAGCCACATGTGCTATGACAAATGGCAGCCATTTCTCTCCCTTGAAGGTTACCCAGAGGTCACCGGCTTATCATTGTCAATATCGCTGTCATTAAGTGAGGAGTGTTACAAATTTGGTATGGAAACACTGGCAGGCTCTGAAGGCACTGTGATTCATGGGGGGCTTATGGGTATTCATATGCATGAGGTAAAGAATCACTTAGACTGAGTAATATTATATATTAAAAGCTAGAGAATCTGGTACTATTGAATTCACACTGAAAATCAAGTGTACACTACCAATTCACATACCATCAAAATACTCAACAATTTCAACAGTGAAGAAAGCATATACTAGACTACTTAACCACTTTTTCTGTAGATACAACTAATACTTAGAGTTAAACCACATGAAGCTTGCAAAACTGTAAGTACATTTAGTTATCCTTCAATATCTACATGTATTGTCAGATTTCTTTTTCTAATGTTTGATCGACAAAAATTATTTGCAATACCTTTTACAAATAACAGAATTTTCTTATTCTAATCATTGTCTTTTCAGTGACATTTCATCCAAAACAAAAAACATGGAAAATTTAAAGGTATCAAATCCCATTATAAATGATTAAAGTTCTTTGTTGACTAAATCTTACCTTTCCAAGTTTCCTCTTCTTCACAGACTTGTCACTGCTGTTGCTGGTGGTGCTGCCCGTGCTGGGAGACTGCCGACCCTTCTGTCCCAGGTGCCGGGCGTTGGCCAGGTGATTGACAGGTGAGGAAGACTCGGAGGGACTGCTGGAGCTGGCCTTCCCCTTGTGTCTAGATTGCACCTGTTGGGAGGGACAGAAACTTAATTTCTCTAAATTTCATATTTTGGCTTTAGAGCTTGGGTTTCCATTCATATTAAATCTAGGTTTTACATGCATTTGGTAATAATTTGATTTTTCCCTTGTGTCTGCATGTAGATTGCACCTGTCATGAGATCCAGAGACAGGTGTGTCTGAATTTCATATCTTGGTTTTGGAGTTGGTACTTTCCATTCATCATGAAATCTAGGTTTCATATGACTTTGTATTGGTGATAATTTAATTTTCTCCTGATGCCTACATGTAGATTGCACCTGTCATATAGATTGCACACTGGCAGGTGTGTTTATAATTCATGTTTTGACTTTGGAAAATAATCTTTAATCATAGCAGCAGCATTTACATGTACCTTGTGACAAAAGCGACAATCTATAATTCCTCATGGTCTTTCACTTTATTCTGCTCATAAACCTTTCCATTTATAATGAAGTCTAGCTAACTTTTCTATGCATTTGTAATACTGGGGTAATAACCAATATCATAGGGAACATTATGGAAAGAAAATTAAACAACTTTTATCTAGGCTCAAACATCATCCTAAGAGCCCCAATTCACACTTACCCCATCCCTATTGCGCCGTGTCCTCATACCAGCTTTCCCAGAATTCATTGCATCGTCGTCCTTATCCTCCTTGACAGGTTTAAACATGAATGGCGGGGGTTCCCGCGGAGTCTCTATCGGCCGGAGCTCCCCATACTTCTTAAAGAAAATCCGACAGTCCGTGCAAAGAATAACCTTATCGTGGCCTCCGTGGTGCCAATCTCGAGAAGCTGGAAAAGGAAAGGAAAACTTGGATTACAACATGTATTTGCTAATATTACAGACCACAAGACACCAGGACAATATCTACAAGAACTGAAATATGGCTTATTCAGTTGCAGAAATGAGTACAAATTGCACACCAGGGCTGCTTGAGTAGTCACAGGTCAAACAGGAAAAAATAAATTACGTACCGGATGGAATCAGTGGTCATAACACTTGCCTTTTTTATTTTTTGTCAAAAAATGGAACAACCTGACTAAAAGCAAAATTCTCTCCAGAATGAAATGTATCTTTCACAAAGAATAATATCCTTTCTGCTGACCTATGAGCAATTGCCATATTCAGTAGAGAAATGTGGCTGAATAACTAGGTAGAAAGAAAGTCCACATTACTTCTCCCTGACCTCTGTCACCCCTATATTGCTGCTTGTAACATTCGTGCCTGAGCACTTAAAAGGGTCGGATTGGAGCAACCCTAGCGAGGTAATCACCTTGGTAGGGCACACAAAGGGGCAGTCAAGTAGGAAGATTGTGCCAAAGTCAGAGAATTAAGTCACAAAGGCTGTGCAAGCAAGCTGTAAAGCGTGGCCCTGGGGCACTTCTTACATTATCGACAGGCTGATGTGGCAGGGGCAGGGAAATGTTCCAGTGGGGGGCAGCTCAATGCCTCTTGAACATGAATGTCTGACACAACACCCTGGACATGTACTGCCATTTAGGAATATATATTCACAGACAAATAGTTTCTTCTCCCAGATCACTCTGAACTGAGCAAACAAACCTGTGAAGGAGTATTTGAGAAGCACTTTCAGACATGCAATTAACCTAGTCTAAATGACAGTATACATGTGCATAGTTTATGACAATGACAACACGTCCATATATTATTGTACGAATCCTTGTGTATTGTCATTGTAATTTGTCCAAACCTTAATGGACATAATGGGTGCAAACAGTACCTGTCTGAAGCAAAACAAAAACACAACCATGTTCCACTACTTTTCCTCTTCACTACCCCAATAATCACATAATCGCATGGCTTGTTTCCACACTTTGTCACAGACAATAGAGATAAAACAACGACAACTCACTACAGATACTTCTGAATTACCTGATTGTACAGATTTTCACACTCTGCTTCCACCTCCCCACCTGTTCATTACCAACACCTGTTTGACTCTGAGGCAACAAACAGTCTACGATATGATCTCATCTTAACAGCTAAACTTTGTACTTACTGTTGGTTGTAGCCAATTCAACACTACAAGAGGATCGACTTAGACCAACAATGGAACATTCATTTGTAAGCTTGTCACAAAAGGAGAGACTTAACATGCCACAGCATTAACAGGTGCAGAAAACAACCTCAGTATGTCCTCAGTAACCAAAGACTGCTCCACTGTGCTAACAAACCTTCAACCCCCGTCTGAAGTCAGAAACAACCATCTCACATTTACTTACCGAGCACACTGTGTTAAAACTCTTGACATAATGTCTGTGTGCTAACCGAACATGGCACTTATGACACAGCATACCTTGAGTTCACCGTAATTAGGACAGGCGTTCGTAACAGGTGCTAGCGCTCGGAAAGTGTCTACCTCACAGGTAGCCGGGCCAACAATACCGACTAAGTACCTGCAGGGGCAAAGTCGACACTTTCCGTCACCCCTAACCTCGTCAAGGGAACCAAAAACAACATGCCACCATGCACGACAATACCACGGTTGTCGGGCAGGCGAATAATTTTGTTGTGCGGTGACACCGGGTCAAGAGTCACGCATTTGCTCCACCTGACCCCGCCAACAAAACCGGCGCTTGGGTTACCTCCCATCTGTCTGTGGTGTTAGCTCAAAACAAGCCGCCCACAACACAGGTTTGTACACCACCTACACCCATGTCTTCCACTCTTGATAACCCACCTCTAGGACATCACACATGTCCGGAAACTAGCCCCGATTAATTCCAAAGACTACAACGCCAGGGCGGCACGTACTAAACGTTTGTCTCCTTGCTCACCAGATAAGAGGATATTAGCGGTCGATTTGTGTACACTGCACACACGGTAAACATGCAAATGTATACACAAGGACTCGCTGATTTGGATGACAAGCATGCACATGAATACAGTCTTATTTTGTCAACAAAGCAAGAGGATATCTGATACGTAGAAAGCAGAGGCAGAGGTTGGAATGTTCTGGCAACAGAATATATTTTGCTACTCACCAATGCTAAGCAAAACACATGGTCTCTTCAATCAGATAAGGGAACTTCATGGGAATTTAGTCAACCTGTATGTTTTCTCTATGCCAAAAAGACTGGCAATACATTCTGAACATTCATGATGCATAAATAGCAGTGCGTGTGTTTGCAATCTACCCATTTATCCACCTGGGTCAAACTTTACAGTGTTTGTACACAAGTCAAGACATGTGCATGTAGTGCAACCACATTTTCAACTGACACATTTGTGGCATTAAGTTGTTGAGGATGCTTAACTTCCAAACACGTGAGCTATGGGACGTCCCATTCCATACATTTATAAGCAGGCATAACAAGTTGGGGTTGGGAAAGGGCACCGCCCAGGTGCATTCTTCCAGATAGACATGCTAATTAAATCATATGAAAATACATATATTTAGAAGAATTCATATATAAAAAGAGGTGCCCATCTTTCTGAAAACACACAGAAATTATTGAAAAGTATCAAATTTTAGGTTACGTGAATTGATGTCCAATTAAGACCTTTTCAATAAATATAAAACGTACCAACAGCATATAAACTGTGTACTTGCACATGTATGTGAACCTTACTGTTGTGATGTTTTCGTGACCTTTCCATGACTTTGACAGCTGTTAAGTTATGCAACAAACTGAATAGTATTCAAAACTCCGAACTGTTGTTAGTGTCAAATGCACTATTGAAAGAGAAAGGAGAGACTCGAAGTGTATCTGTTGTTGATTACACAACAAGACGTAAAGCTTACGACCTTTCTTCTGCTAATCCCTTGGACCTATGCTGACATTCTACTGCACAATCAGAGTTGGCAAGTCCCCACAACCATGAAATTGGCTGCTCACAGAGCGATGGCACCAGGGTCACCTAGTGCAACTGCAACTGTCCCCACTAGGATCTTGTCATCATCACAAAAAATGCAGGTTTTCCATCCTCCTGGGCCGGTACCATATTATAATGCAACCATGAAATTGGCTGGATGTCTTCGGGGAGGTTTTGCTTATCCTGCCGCTAAGTTTTATTACCGAGTTCCCCTCAGCACGCAAGTGCAGGGGACTCACCTGATCACGCGCCTGTTACCAAGCAAGTGCAGCCCAGTTAGAGTTATGACATGGCTCTGCACACACCAGAGGCGGGATTTGGCGGAGCCGGCTGGCCCGTTAACGTTCCATCTCACTTGGGAAGCCTTTGACATTCACCGTGCAGGGCGAATTACGACAGTCATTCTTTTATGGACCAAATAGAAGATTGACTTAGATGAAATGGGAAGATTTTTAAGAAGTTGATAGTTACATTATGAAACCATCTGTCCCATTCCATGCTTGTGTGGTGGAAACATTTACATTTAGGTATGGAACTTTAAAGAAGCACATATGCAGAGGACACTCACTTGTGGTGAAACAGTGTCTGCAGGCGTAGGCGCTGAGATCGCGGGAATCGCTGTCCTCACTGTCCACGTTCTCCAGTTCTGTCTCACTGGCAGAGCTCAGGTCCACTGGAGAGGGAACACAACACAACTTTCAAACATCTCACAAGCAACATGTACTCATGGCTTACATTTGGTGTTGTATTATATGTTGTATAATGTGTGGAACACAACGTAAGCTTTATTTGCTGCCTGATGCTGCCTGTACTGCTGTTCTAATGTGAATAAAGAAAGAAAGAAAGTAACACGTATTTCAAGAACTCTTGAATGATGAATTGTGCATCATGTACTTCAAATGTGGAAAGTCCATGTTGTAATGGCATAGACATTGAAAAAGAAAGTCTATGCCATTACAACAAAGACTTTTCACATTGACATTCCACTGCAACTATTTTGAACCATAACACTGTAGCAGTCATTAAATGTAATTGCGTTTGTAAGGTAGATTCTACCTGTATTTAGTAAACGTCATGCTACATGTAGCAAATAAAACTACAAGTCTTACTGTGAACTCTACAAAACCTGGCCAAAACTTACAGAATTCTGAAGAAGGAGGCCTGTTCCCATTGCCGGCGCGGGATCCCACGCCACGGACTCTCCTGAGCGTGCTCTGTCTGCGGTGTCTGCGGTGAGGACGGCAGTTGTTCGCTGCGGGAGTTTTCTTCCACAGATAGTAGAACTCGACCAGCTCACTCTGTGACAACAACATAAAACACAAGTTATAAGTATTACTATGATCTGAGGGTATTTAGCTGGGTTAAGGGAGAAGTAGTTAAGGACTCAGGAGAAAAGGACAAGAACTTACTGCATCAGTCTGAAATACAAGCAGGGTGTGGCAACCATACTGCAATTGTTATGATTATATATTTTTGTATCATTGGCAATGGTTGATGATTTAGACAGATGAGACAACTATTCCTGCTTCTGTCTGTGTGATTGATCTTCAATATGGGGTTTATAAATACAAACTGTTGTAATAGAACGTTATAAGGTTCTAGCTAGCTGGTTATGTTCTATTATGCCGAAGGGGGGTTATACCAGCAATACAGATGGAGATATAGAAGGTTTGAAATTCTAAATCTAATCTGAACAGGGTAAGACATCAAAAACATGGCGACAATTCCCCAAATTTGCAAAAATAGAACTCTCCTTGTTTGAATCTTGATGTACCACACTTGCGGCACACCATTGCTATCTATTCAGCACATCATTGCCATGAGGTATATTCATCCCGTTACTGCCAGCGTGTTTTTAAAGGATTTATCTCCTGCCCTGAAGTGAATGTGATCAATGTTTACTGTATGCAAGGCTGAAACTGCAAACTACTAAAGTGCTAATGTAGATTTTTATCTTCAATCAACTTTTCAGTTACAGATTCTTCCCACCAATGGATGTCAATCCTTCAGAGTTCTTTTGATTATCACATGATGCATAACACCACCCCTTTGGCAAATTTCATTTATAAATATAGACCCGAGAAAGCCAAGCATAACAAAGTAGGCCTGAAGGGCTTAGAATAACAAGTAACACAAAAAGCCCAGGCTCTTTGAATTAACTTTGGCTTTATGGCTTATACTTATATCTTTGTTTTATCTTGGTGTCTGGTATCTATATGTACATGACTTGAGGGATGCAATGACTTGTGTGAGCTGAATTGCAACTTTCCTAGAACTGCATAGTAATAGTACTAATACAATATATGTTCATCCCTCTGTTTCAAATTTTCAATATGGTAACGTACATTGTATGCATTAACCATACACAAGGCGCTAGTATCCACTGAAAATCGTTCATTGTATTAATAACAATAGTAACACTGGAGAATATATTAAGTTATAAGATTCAGGTAGAAATTATCAGATGCATGCTGATGGCATAAATGTAATGATTATGGTCATAAATATAGTGTCTGGCCCCCTCCTAACAAATGTAATCAGAGCCATTGATGGAAGACAAGAAGATAGCCCAACATTATGTACAACATGACTACAACATGAATATTTGATCATGCACAGCTGTACATTCAAGCACTGTTAATATGAGCTCTGCAGGAGAGGTCAGTAAAGGTCACGGACAGCACTGATATTTCATACACAAATTATTCAAGCTCAAACGCAGGGCATTTTGCAAAAACGATGATGACCTTGGTCAAAGAGGAGTTTTGCTAAACTATGATTACAGTTGATAAATTCTCATCATCAATAATCTTATTTGAAAAATGTACAAAAACTCTGTGAAAATTGGTTTTAAAACAGTAATTTATTTTAGAAAATAACAACTTACTAGTAGGAAAATAAAGCTGTGAAAAGTGGGGTTAATTTTAACATAAACATCATGTACAGATGATTTATATTTAATGGAGGTTAGTTTGACCTTGGCAGTCATATTCCCATTACCCTCCCACCTTCAACCCAATCTTCATCCATTATTTACTGTGTCCCAATTCTCACTACCAGAAGCCCTGTTTATGGCATAATCTGTGAATAACTTACTCCAGCCTATTACTCCGGCTCCAAGCTGGATAAGTGCAACCAAATTTATGCCTTTTTGCAATGGTCATCGTTTTAGCAAAGTTTGGAATGGGTCTGCTTTATTACTCATGCTTGCAATACAAGTTTGTGAAACATCTCAACCATACTAAACTTTCGTTGTATTTCAAGCAACCACATTACATGTACATAAATCAGCTATGCAATTCATAGAGAAGACATTAATTATAAGTATCTAGTTGTTTCAACTAGGTCAAATTTTGTCCTAGCTAACATAATAATGCAGCGGAAGATTTGCCTATTCCACAACTGATAAATAATTCAGTAGCCAGTGGCAGTGAGGCTGGGAATATATGGCCTACAGTTGGCCACAGCCTCCATCGGAGCATAATTCAAGGTGTGACTGCAGGCGTGTTATCGATCCTTCCAGACGGCGCTTTGTTCCGTGGTACGGAGGAGCGCCGCCACTGCATTACTTGTGAGGGATCAACTACAAGCTACAGCTTCTTCCCTTCTATGATTAACCTTTGCGCTCAGTGCTGGATGGAAGGAGAAGCAATCTGCTATATATTTTTTCTCTACTTTATCACTGTTGGATTGTGTAAGGCAGGAAAAATCATGACCAAAGAAGCTCCGCATCAAACTGATATACCCTGCTGCTAAGTGCTAAATGTTATATAAAAACAGTATATTTCAGTTGCTGTTCTAGCGTTATGTGACACATTTTATGAAGGTTACACTTGAGAGCTCATAATTTGCCACTCATTTGGCTCAATTGTAGACAGAATCAATTTTTCACCTACTCCATGATGCATTTACTGGTAGCATCCTTGGCCTTTGACCTTATGCAGAATCACTCACAAAGTGTCCCAAAAAATAGTTTAGATTGTTCAGTCAATATTGGCATAAAGAAATTCTTCTTAAATAGATGTTGGCATTGAAAGCTCAATCTAGCTTCTCTATTAGATGGACATAATGCTTCAACCAGTCGTTAGTAACATGTACAAGTGTGTTACAACATGTACATTGTAGGTCCTCCACTAACACAGAGTAAGTGACTTACTACAGTTTCTCCATTCCGTAAGAGAAAACAGCCATCCCTACCAGCACCAGTACCAGGTTTAAAACATGTTCAGAGAGAACTGATCTGAGTGCAGCAGCAGACTGCGAATGTTGTTACAGAACAAAAGCAGCGTCACAGTTGTAAACTCAGATTCTTCAGTTCCCATCCTTGTGCACACCACATACAGCCAACCATAACAAACAAGCTTCTTGCCTTCCTGCAAGTCCCTGACCCTTGCACAGAAGCCAACCAAAACAGGAGAAGCCGAGTTGCTTCAGTGAAAACAGTCTTCCCTGCAACACTAGTTCATACTCCACATGTGGCTTTGTCCAGAGACAATGTTAAAGTAGAGAAAACTGCACCAGAGCTAACTGCACCAGAGCTAACTTTTGACAGACATTTGGTTCAACCAATGAAGAGGTTGCTGTAAAAAAAGCACCTGCCATAGAATGTAGCATGGACACTCCACCCATTTGTATGTTGTGGTTTATGAAGCATAGCCTTGGCAATGTGTCAGATCTTCAAGTCCTTGAAGACTTAGAATAGCTTCTTGTATTTCAATATCAACTGCCAATCTTTGGATTCAGAGTGCGGTAGGTCTTTTCAAAAGTTCTTGCTCCCTCTTGCTGTGACCAAATGGCAAATTCATTCTGAAAGGGCTAGTGGGATTATACATATAGTACTATCCTTCCCCTTCCCTCAGACGCACTAGGATATCAAGTTCAGCTTGTTGTGAGATGGCTGGGTGAACACCAAGTGTGTTGGACAAACAGGTGTCACACCTGGGTGGAGGTAGGAGCAGTTGTTGTCCCATTCTGCCGTGGTGTGTGACTGGGCAGGTGTGGCTCTCTTATTACTGCCTACTGCTGACCTGTAGGTCCTGGTGTTCATGTGGGAGGTACATGTAGACTACAGTGTGGGTGTGAGGATCATACACCTACCTACATGTACCTAATCCTCTCATACATCATGATCACACTATCATTCACTATCAGATTATCTATTCCACCTCTCCAACTTTGCCATGTTAGCACTGATGTTGTGCGTCCTCTGACAGTGATTTTTATACTTTTACTTTTGTCTATTATTACCGGAAAAAAGCCTAGAAAAAGCGAATTCTAGACAGTGATATGGCTTACAAATTTTCTAAACCTAACGATCCCAAGAATGTGTGAAAAAAATCATTCAATTTGGAATAGAGCACATAAGATTCCATCTTACCACTTTCAAATAAATGACAGATTTTTCCCGATATTATGGTAGAAGTCAGCACAGACCATGTTTCAAAGAATTAAGCATGTCCAATAGTTTGTGTTATTTAGTCTTCCTGGCCATTTGTCAGAGATTTTCCACACCTTCCAGTATTCAAAAGGCAGGCGAGATGATCTACCACTTCCTTCATGCTTGGTAACAAGAACCAAGTTGTAAAACTTAGCAGAAGGCACAGTGCAGGGGCTCTGGGACTCCTCTAGTGTCATGGTACACTTCCATCCACCCCCACTGTAAATTATGCTGACAAAACATAATGGAACTACAAAATCCCATCTCCCCCTCCAGAATCCAATTGCTCTTTTGAAAAGGCCAACCCGACGAGATCGGTGATGATTCCACAGTTATGTATGGGTCCTGCCTACCTTTTAGTAGGAATTGTCAAGGAACAGCACACAATTCGCTCATCCATTCTGACAAAATAAATGGCATTCTTGAAATCAGTCCCAAAAGTTGTTATCCGCAATGACAGATACAAATGGCAATCTCCAAGACTTATTTGAACAGGGACAGTGATGCAGCCGTGCCTAATGCCTGGTGATTTACTCGTTCTTTCCGTACATTATTGTAATTACCCAATAACACACTTGGTGTGGAAATAGCTGTGATGACGGCAGCCTACAACAAACTCAGGTGGGGCCCTGTTTGGGAAGGACTAGATGTCGAGAATTCTGTCAAGAAATTTCTGAAATCAAAACTGTATGCACACTTCAGATATCCTCAAGACATTCTTGAGAAGGCTTTGATAACACGTTTATTTGAAGCCATCTTTTGGTATCTAGCATAATTATGCAAGTTGACGTTTACCTGCATTATCTGCAAAACTTAAACCTGTGTATAACAAAACCATCAGATGAAATTTGGAAAAAAATACAGTAGACACTCTTATGGTGTCCAGATAGATAAGAAAAATTCAGACCCAGAACTTTAGTGTTACATTTTTGGTGGAGAGAAATTCTAAGGCCTAATGGCATGGTAATATTTATTTTATGTCTTATGATTTTAATATTTCGCTTCTTGAAGCAGGCTGAACCAACCACCAAGGACAGCTGAATTTTGGAAGACACATGCACAACTATCCCAAGAAATCCTTCAGTTTGGAAACTACAACATATGTGACTGGGCCCTCACATCAAAGACAGGATAATAACACCTCTTGTCCCACAGCTTCTATCAAGCAAATCACTTACATGTACGTCTCTTCAGGGAAAATCAATGGACTAATGGTGGGGAACAACCTGAAAGCAGTGTAGCTAATTTGTAATCAATTAAACTTGCAAACATTTGCCACCAGTACATGTGACATGTCTGCTCCAATCATACCAAAACTGCCCTAAGAACATGTTGTATCATACCACTTCTGTGTTCTAATCTATTTAAAGTTTGTTACATGTATGTTGCCTGTTTTTGTCAATAAATATATTTGTTCTGACAGGAATCTACAAAATGTAGTCTAAAATTTGGAATCTTAAACTTTGACCTCCGGCCACACCAATTCAATTTGTTGGTTCTCAGATTCTTTAAAAAGAAATATGAAGCAACAGGGGAAAAAATTAAAATAAAAACAGGTCTAGGGATCCTATTATAGCCCCAAATGCTACGAAAGGAGCCATGGAGTCAACACAAAAAGCTGGGTTAATATTTAAACAATGAATTTTGAACTTTTAATCAAACCAATGCATCGATAGATGGAAAAACTGTAACAGCTAGGAAGAAAAGGACTTTCCTCAACTGTTGGGGATAAAATATGAGCATTTTTGAGTTGATTCCGAACCAGAATCTTTCAGAATTCAAATTAGAAAAAAATTAAGAGGTGAATCCGAGAACCAACAAATTAATTGGTGTGGCCTCGACACTTGTCTTGTCTAAACTTTGACATCTTAAAAAATGTCAAAATTTTGGAAAAAATAATGGCCCCTTACAGACATACATTTGTACAAGAATAAGTCCATTCACTACAAAGTCATGGTTACAGTAACAATCCTACTCGTACTCTTTTAGTCAGTCACACAAATTTGCCATGGTACGCTGTCCAGTTGTTCTGTAGCTTCCTTTTACAAAGGCACAATCTGATCTTTCATTTGCCAGCTGTTATACTTTATGTGTGTGTGAAATGTGAAATTGTACAATAGCATTAATTTTTTATTATTCAGAGTAAATGATTCCTACGTGATTGGGTACTTGTTTCGGATCTTTGACTACCACCATGCTAATTTTTTTAATCTCATGGAACAACCCTCTTCTATTCCTAATAGCATTTTGACATTATGCTATTTTCATTGCCAATTGAAAGTCCAAATTGATTAAATATTCAAGGACACTACAAAACTTGGGAGCAAACCATTGTGACGTATGGGGAACCTCGTGTGCTAACTTTTCATACATCCGGATCCCTTCTCCTTGCAGTTCCAATGATTTCCACCCAGGTCTTCAAGTACTTCTACCTTCACCTACCTTCTTTCGAGTATATAGTGTCCATACCAGGTGTATCAGTATACTTGCAGAATTCTTCAATCAATGTAGTAACAACTTTTGGAAAACCACAATAAGAAAATCACAGGGAATCAACAAACTGGTTCAGAGTCTCACATCACAGTTTTGAAATTGGAGTGTTTATAACTTTAAGCCTTTCCTTTCTGTAATAACCTCCTTGACAGAAATCGTGGCTGTTTCTACCATCTGTGCAACCTGTTTGCAAGTAGCTGTAAGGTAATTGATGTAAGTAGACCAATTACTGAGAAGTACCTGGGCTATTTAAAGCAACATAATCGCGACATAATCACCTGCTTGGTTGAAACAGAAGCTGAAAACTACATGTACATTTGAATTTTCCTTGGGGCAATTCCAAAATTTTAAGGGAGGGGCACAACGCAAAGCAAGAATTGTATCTTAAAAAACTGATATACAGATACAGAATATTTCTTATAATGTTAAATATTCCTTCTAAAATATTGCCAACTTCTGAATTCTCACACACAGCTTCAGTACATGTACAAAATGTATATACATGTACTCATTGAGCCCCAACCAAAATTTGGAAAGGTATCAATTGTTGAGAACATTGTGCTTATCCTTCATCCAACATTTACTGCCCAGTGAAAGTATACATGTAACATTACATGTGTGTTATCTACTTCAAACACTTGCAATTCTGGAGGTAGTTTATATTGACCCTTATCTCACCCCTTAAGATGTGAATCCAAAACAAACAACTTGAACAACACAACATACTTGACCCTACACACATGACAACCATCTTCCTTCTTAACTTCATAGTAAACATGATAATCATTACACAATGTCAGTATGTTATACAAGTATATTCCACCAAATGTGGCACATACTTGCCTCCCATTGTGAGCATATCGCTAGGTAAATGTGTACATTTGTACATGGTCCCTCCCATCATGTACAACATGGTCATGGGAGGGGCAACGACCCCAAGCACACAATGATATCAACAACATGAGGTTCAACAACTCCATTAAAAAGATATTATAAACAACGCTGGTGTAGATAAAGAAATGTACTCACCGTTTCCTTTTCTGGCAGCAGCTCCTTTCGTATACGGAAGAAATTCTTGCCGAACTGCCGCAGCCCCTTCACGAAGCGTTTCTACGTGGCGAACAAAGAAGGGAGGCGGCACATTAATACCACTGGCCAGCACAATGGATGGGCATACAAAATACACAGCCTGTCAACAAAAATTAATTGTGACAGTCCTGCTATTCAGAGCCGTGCGGGCCTGAAATGCTTGCTCGCGTGTCCTTTGTTCCACGCCGGCTCACAACAAATCGTACAACCTGCTTTGCATTATGTTGCACGACCGAGTCTCTTTGTACGAGCCACGGCCTTAGGATACAACCTTTTCCTGCCTTCATGCAGGTCCACCTTTCTGTATTGATTCTAGAATTACATGTTCAGAAAGATTTTCTGAGTACAATAAAGTCTGAGCCCCTTTTGAAATCTGGGAACAGACATGACAGGTGTTTTGGAAACTGCAAACATCACCGTGAATAATTGACTACACAAAGAAAGTCTAACGGTTCTCGCTTTCTTCAAGAAATATTCTGTTCAAAATATCACCTTCAGCAATTTCCCTCTCAATACATTTGTACTTGTGACATTCCTGATGTTAACTCTTTTGAGAAACATTATAAAAATGGTCTCTGAAAAATTACCTGCGCTCTACCTTAAGACAAGCCGTCTGCCATCATCTAGCCAACACACCTCACCACAACGTACGACTTATTAGCTCCATCAAACCCCACTCGCCAATGCCTTGCACTGATTTCGATTCGATCGCCCGCCACTCAGTCCTGCCCGCACAACAATCAACACGAGCACTGTACCAGGGCGCCCTTTGCTCCCAGCACATCAACACGCGTCACATGAAATTCAAATCACCTCGTTGCAGACCAAGCAGGTACAATCTGCACAGCCTGGATTTACAGTTGAACCAACCAAAGAGATCATGACTACCGGGGGTATCACGGAGATCCCTACCCCTCCACTGGAGCCCTCCCTACATTTACTAACATACATCAATACCAGTTTAAGACCCTCACACTGCTTTGTACGTCTCCACTTTCAAATAACTGACAAATATTCTGTGTACAGCATCCATTTGAGAATCCTGAGGGATCTCGGACTCCCCCATGACTTTGAGAAGTGGAAGAATCCATTCCCTGCAGCTGTGGGTGGCTATTCTCCATATTATGTGCCCTAAACCTATGATTTATCTATCTTAGGCACTTCCAATACCATTCTCAGTTCCACATAATCTTTAGGATAACACTGAAATAACAACAGATAACCTCAAGTCCTGTTTTGTAAACAATACCATGATGCCTGTATTTAAGGCGTGCCCTAGTTCTTATTCAATGCCAGTGTTATGACTACAATAATTGTCTCGTTAATTGAACCTTTCTCAACCCGACTTACTTTAATGACCAACAGAGGAAGGAACACTTTTCTGTGCTTACATTAACTGTAATCACGGCACATTTTCCCCTTCAAATCACCCAGTCTTGTTCTCCCGCTCCATAAGTACTTTGCATATGCCTCCCGTTCCCTTATCCCTTAATCTCCTGGCTTAGTGCGACCAAATCTCTCCTAATGCAACTTGCAGGGGCCGATTTGCCTTGCTATTAGCAGGTAAATCGAAGGAATCCCTCGATTCCACCATTTCTAATCTTCCATTACACATTTTGTGAGGATTTTTCCACGTCAGTCGCAAACATGTTTGTGCAATGGATGGGATTGTAAATCAGAAACGCACCGCAGGTCGTAAACGTCCAATAAACTCAACATCTGGTCCACGTGATACAGACACATAAAACAACTCATGCAATCCGCAGAGCGTTACAAATAGCATTAGGGATCATGAGAAAATAAGGAATCTTGATATTAGAAACAGCGTAATTCAAATTCCTTTCTTAGGCCACTCCAATTCATTATCTAGATTCTTGTGGATTTTTACAATTACATTAAAATCTAAGAAGAGAAGATAAAAGGCAGTAGGCAGGAAAGAAATTTTAGTATGTGAGTATTCACCCCCTAAAAGTATGTGAACAATGGCAAAACTTTCATTTTGGTCTTCTACATGTACATGTACAGTACTGTATTTCAGCACAATTATCTGGAATCTAAGAACTAACAGTGTAACCTCAAATCAAAACCTTCAAGAGCAATATTGAAAGTAGAAAAAAATTAGTATGTAATACTAGTAAGATATCAGATAGTTGCACACTCTGTGACAGGGTGGATTATGGAAGACGCAATTATATGATTCCCAGGTTGTACACCATGTCAAAGTAGGCAACCCCTCCATATCAGCAGTTGTACAGTTAGGGAAGTTGGTTCTTCCTACCAACAGATCAGCTACTCCAACCTGGGGGTTGTCTGGAAAGTGGTGGGATGTCATTTGGGATTGGTGGTTTGCAATATACTGATTTTATTGGCAACCAGGCAAACATTTGGAGAGGATGGGATAAACATAAATAACATAAATAAATGTTTTATGAGTACATCGTTATCTTTGAATGTTTCAGAACTCAAAGATCCTTAAACATTTTCCATTGATTAGTTTCTGAGACCAATATTGAAACATTCTCATACAGTACATGTATAATCTGATCCCTAAAAATCCTTCACATCAAAATCTGATCGTTTCTCAAAATGTTCTCATAATATACAGGGTGGGTCTTTGATCTTCATGTATTATACTATAATAATCAATATTAATGTACGTGTATACACAAATACATGCACAGATTAAATGTACATATAGAGCTGTGAGTGCTACAAGCTAAATTTAATCCTGCAGTGGTCGACACAACTGGCTAGGGTACCATCCTGGTAGTCAATGCTCATTCCAACTCGCTTACACCACACAGCCAATGGGAGCGAGCGCAAACTAAGAGGGCGGTGCCCAGGCTGGTGTGTAACATCAATTAACGTCTGTTCCACAGGCAACTTTAAGGTCAACTATCACGGAAATGAAGTCTGATCAATGCTTAGGCCACAAAAGTTACACAGGCGTATCCAGTTGTGAGACCCAGGACAGACAATATACAGTCCTGGCTGGACAGTGGGGCGGTGTGATGGATGTAGCGGGGAAGACGGAGGAGGAGACACAAGCTGGATGCATCTTTCATACACCACCCCTGCCCTCTCCCTCGACCTCTCCCGACACCTGTGTTCATCATCCTGGTAAGCAGGATTCACCGAGTGTCCATGGAGCAGGGAGGGGGCACCTGCACCCAGCGATTACACCAGATCTCACCAACTGTCTCCCCAACTTTGATATGCTTCCCTGTAACCAGGTCTGGAAATTGGCTACAATATGTTTTCATTTGCTGTACTCGGGCACCAATTTGGAGAGCACAAATAGCAGTAATATTGTACAGCTCCGGGCAACATGTAATGGCACAAACTTTGATTATGTTTAAAACTTTTTATGCATGACAGTAATGTTCCAAAATTGCAATGTCTTGGAAGTTACATTTTCAATCTCTTTTCATTTTCATACTCTGGCTCTTCTTCTGCTAACTTTTGCTATTACTAATCAATGGTTCACAGTCAGGACTGGAGAGTATATATTTCTGGATGTTTGTTTCAATGCACGGAACCAAATAAACCAATTTTAAGTGTTACCAATGTTAAGGGGAAAAAACTAAGCAGGGAGTGCTACACATGGAATAAAGTTCCAGGCAATCGATAATGCTATCGTGCTACATCATATCAAGTGTGCTGATCACCATGCAATAGCCATATACATTGTACATCCTTGTGTGGTGCGAGATCAACAGACCGCTCCTGACAGGCTTAAGCACCACAATCCATGTTCCATCATAACATCTTAAGCTGTCAGAAATCATGATGAACAAGGATCATGCTAAAAGCTGTGGATTTGGACAGTGAGTCAGTTCCCATTTGGGAAGAGCAGGCCGTAGCCATTAGAACATACATAAGGTAAGATGAGGTCTCTATCACTGGTGAATACTGATAGGTATATGCAGACTGATGAATGTCCACACCCCTGCACCCTGATGGCTCCCTTTCAGTAGAACTTCTCCACAGAATTTGAACTGCAGTAGATTGCAACTGGGACTGATATAGATCATGCAGGAGCCTGCAAACTTTCTGATGGTTATCTAGTATGACACTTCTGTAAGGAGTTGTTGGGGTTTTTTTGAACATGATGATATGGTAATTCTATTGATATTTTCTACAGCTGCAAACTTCAAACCAAGAGAAGTCATCAATTAATACTAGTATTGGAATCATGCAAATAAGTAAAAAATATTTTCCCATATAAACTGCATGAATTATTATAAGTTCTGTCTAAATACAATTATATTGTAATATTTTCAACACGGGCACAAAAGTGAGCAAAACTGAATAATGTCTTCGTCTTACCGTTTCATCGTCTGTCCACTTCCTGTCCGCTGAGACGGGGACTGGACGTTTGACCAGCGCCTGGAGAGCCTTTCCTGTGTTGTAGTCAAACTGATGCAGCTGGAGCAAGAAGGAGAACAACAGTTACTGTTACTGTTTAGGAATAGGAAAAGATGTGGGATTGGGCAACAACTGGAAATAGGCACAATTTACAATGCACAGGTTGTAACTTTTGCAACTGATATTGAATACATGTGTACAGAAGAAAATTAGGCCTATTCCAAACCATCTCCTTGTTGACTAATGTTATTCGCCACTAGTCTCGCCAATTTACATGTAATTCGATTACTTAGTGGTACAGTTTCAAAATCAGCTTCTGGCATTTATTTGGTAAATATTATAACATTAGTCTTATAAATATTACAACATTAGTTTTACAGTGAAAAGTATCTCAGACATGGTTATTAAACCTTTTTTTTTTACTCTTCATTACAATCAATAATGACAGCGATGTACATACTAAAAGGCATGTACAATGTATGTGTGAACGTGTTTGCCCCCCCTCAAGTCATGTATCTTGCTTTGACTTGTGTTTCCAAATAATACATCACTTTAAATTTGTACTTCAGCCTACTGCACTGGGAAATTCTCTACCTACATGTACATCTATTTTGAGACTAGAACTCCTTGTCCATTCCCCAAATCTACCCATCTTAGTGTTGTGAACACACAGTCAGCCAGAGCAATCTGCACACCATAAAACTGGTGAAAAATCATCCTATCTGTCCAGAAATTGCAGCCATCCCTGCAAACTCCCCAATTTACTGACAGGCCTTGCCCCCGCTCCCGACCTCCATTTCTCACAGTGTCATGTCCCGACCTTTGGCCCTTGACCCCACAGCACCTGCCATCAGGAATAACCCCACATCTGCTGCTATCTTGCAAATATCCCATCGCCTTTATGGATTTTCGTCCAACAATCTTGTCAAAATAGTTGGCGGAGAGCTTATTCAAAGCCTCCAAAAGGATAGGTTTTATGACAGAGTTTATGACGCCTGCCGGCATGCTCCCTGCATTTCTACCCATGAAGGGATCTGCACGAAGAATGCAAACAATCCCGGGGACCTAATAGCACAAGTCATTTCCCATCTTGTTGGATTGGCTGGACGCATTATGGCCTGCCGTAACATCCGCCCTGATGACACTGACCCGGGGATCTTTTCCACAGTTGTTGACTGGCCTCCGGGGCCGTCAATCAACCAACATCATTCCACTGCCTCCGAACGATGTTGCAGGATAATTCAACACAGCACGGGCATAAATATTTTAAGGCACTGTGTTTTATTCTTGTAACTTTTAATTGGCATAGGTTTAGGTAGTAACAGCTACTGATATGTATCTTTTATAACATCATACATGCCACAATTTATGACTGTGACTGTTATATTTCTTATTGCAAGAATGATTTACTTTCAATGATTAACATCTAGACACTGACAAAACATATTAGTGTGCCTGTTTGAATAGAATTCTAATCAGAGCTGACAGAAACTTGAACATGTAGCTGCTGAATTACTTCCCAATCAGCCATAATCAAGTCACTTGAGAAAACAGCTCTGTAAATTAAGCCTAATGATCTTTTCATCAAATTGATGTTGCTTTAGGGAAAATTAGAAAAATGCAAATTGCAACTTGTCTAGTTCCATGTTTTAATTGCTATATACCCTTGAGGTTCTAGGAGGACAAGCTCGTGATAAATCTTGTTAAGTACATGTAGATCCCTGTGGCATTTATAGATTACAACTTCTTTTTGTTGACTTCTTCAATGAGCTAATAACCTACATTATACAGAAAACCATTTATAGTCACTAAATGTTTAACAGAAAACACACTTGAATAGATATTACTTACGAGCCTCCAACTTTTACTGTCAAACACTCTTTGTAGTATACTGTTTCCTAGTTAACATAGTCTTAGAACTAATTCAGAAGTATGGTTGTTTCAACTGATAAAATACATGGATTTAGATGGGGATTGGTTGATTGATATTGGACTCTTGAAATGTACTGTATTCCATTCATTACAATCTCAGTGAGCTCAACACTATTACAGTCTTTTTCACCTTTTTGACAAAAGATTTATGAAAGTCCAATGCTTGTCTCACAGTATACCTTACTTCAAACTTTAGTATTTTAGCATTAGGGTGCAGATATTACTTATATATGCTGTTATTGGAGCAAAGTACAGTACTATACCTTACTGTATCGTATACTGCATAATATAAATGTATTTTTCAGTTTCAGTTTCAGTTTATTTATTTAACCAGAAGATACACTCAGGTCATTTGACCTGTTTTTCAGGTAGATCTGGGTACAATAAAAATGCAGAAACAATACAATGATAACAACACAGTACATAGCACATAACATAGCACATAATAGCCATACAGCAGCACAAATACAATATAATTACAATGAGTTTTTGAAGGCCGTTACAGTTCGGAGCTTTCTCTGTTCTATTGAGAGCTGGTTCCACAGCACTGGACCCTGGTACTGCAGGCTCCCTTTGTATGTGTTAATGTTTGCCGGTGGAACAACCAGCATGTGAGGGTCCCAATTTGCTAACTGGTTTACAGCTAACCTCGTCCGTCTGTTCAACATTGGGGGTGGCATCCACTTACACATTTCAGACAAGTAAGGCGGCATTTTCTTGTTTAGTACCTTAAAAACAGTCACTAGTGTGTTTACTTCCACTCTTCGTGATAGTGTTTTATTCACCTTTAGCAAAAAGGAAGTACATTACGCCACAGATGAGCATGGCTTTACAAAAAGATTACATGATAGATGGCTTCTTTCACCACCCAGACAGGTAAACACAACTTAAGTTCCTAACATATTTTGTACTTAGTAGTATGGTGTTTTTCATACAGTCCTTAGGTGGTATGCTTGCAAAGGGACCCTGCAGAGAAATCTGTATAGACTTAAGTGATTTTGCCTTCCATTAGCCACATATCATATCACAACCCCAACGTCTCACTTGCCACTTCACATGCATATTGCTTTCTACCTTCTCTCCCAAGACAGATTAAACTTTCTCAAGCTTCTACAGAAACTCCTTCAATTTATATCTTCCTTCATCTCGATCCATCCCACCCGTCTCCCCTGGCACAAACATTATAACCCATAAAGTATTACACACAACTACAAGTAATAAAAAGAGGATGTTGTGAAGGCTTTGGGAACATTCTTGGCTTTGAAAAATTTGATCATGTCAGTCTACATAAAATAAACCCCGTTTGGAAACTCGCCTCTGGGAAATCTTCTCTGGAACTTTGACAACTTTCACGCTAAAGCAAAGTTTTAAAATACGTCATGACGGTGGCTCTGGGACGATTTTCAATGCCTCCTGAAGGTTTTATTACCATGTTTTAGTGTTTAATAAAACAAACTGTAGATAAGGAATGCTGCAAATTAAATCAGCCATACATAACAGATTCTGATGGCATTTTCAGAATACATTAGGATGCCTATCAAGGATACTGCACTTATGTATCTTTGTGCAAGTGTGTTCGCATAAAATATTAAATCCAATTTTAACTTATCTCTAACTTTGTATCATAAACTGAAGATATTACAGAATCCCAACACGGGGCCCCAAAGTTCTTGAGGCATTTCAAGTGCACTATCTTTTATTACCCCTGGTGTCTACATTAATCATACAATGCTGCATCTCTATTGATCTCCTTCTTTCAACTTTTTAATTAAGTGTGGAAGATGACAATCTTATCCCGCGTTCTTCGATCGGCGTGTTTCCAGAATCCGCGACCTCTACCTTGAGATAGGAAGACCAAACGTACTGCTTGGTATTCACCTCGAGCCACCGTGTACTTGATGAAGAAGGACATCAGAGGAGTTATGAGCCATAAAACTTGCCATAATGGGGAAGGCTGATGGCGCCAAGTGCACAAGGGGGACATGTAAAATCTGTCGTGGCAGTAAGCTGCCTTCTATGGAATGAAAGGGATGTTATGAGACAGCGGAATAACTGTCAACCATGAAAGACTATTAGTGCTAACCATACCTGCCATACATCTAGTCTCCATTAGAAAGCATCTGGGTAATATCTGCCACCTTCATGAGAAGCATCCACTACTCACCAGGCTCTTTCCGAAATGGCATTTTAAAACCTTTTCTCAGTTTTCCTTTGTTAGCACCAGTTATCTTTGTGACTTTTAAGTCGACTTTTAAGTCACAACATCCTAGTTGTATGTAGAACGGAAATGTATCTGGGCTTTATTTTGAGTGGAGAGTTATTGGTGTGAAAAAAATGGCAAAATGTAGTATGTAAAAAGTTTGAGAATTGAGACATTACAGTGAGATTCAAACTACTAGTAACAAAAAATTGCAACAAGAAGCAAGGTCAGCAGTATGACAGGACTCTAACAAACTTTATAGGGAGTTGTTGGATACATAACATTTGATTTACAAAGCATAAGTGCTCCATGACTTTGCAGACAATTCTCTGGTTTGCTACCAGTACCCAATAAATTGGTTTCCTACAAAAGACTGCATTCCGTCATGAATTTCTTATTGCATACTGATGTTGAGTGGCATTTATGAGTATGCCAAACTGTCCATAAACATGTGCTTTTAAAAAAGTATATTGTTTCCTTTCTCCTTTCAAAAAAACAACCTGTCATTTTAATTCCTTCACATCATTCATTATGGAAATTATCCTTGACCCAAATGAATGTAATCAATATGTCTTTATTACACTGAAAGACAAACCAAAAGATACCAGCAGACAAGGATGAAAGTTAAAAGTTTTCTCCAAAATTCAGGCATTAATTTTGCCCTCCAAAGGATGACCTATTAGTATGGCTGTGGGATAGAATCAGCCATGTGCATTTAGATTTGGACTCGAGCACAATTTCAATTCTGGATCCCAACCTCGATAAAAGCCCACTAGACCACCATGTTAAGGGTAATTCAATCTCTCTGACAGCCTTGTGAACAATGAAGGGAAGAGCCTAACATGCCATAACACGACTCCAACATCTCAATAATTTATACACAATCTCGGCTATTCAATTTCTGCGTGGATTCACAATGCTAGGTATGATAACATCATTGTTCCAACTGGTCCATAATTGATGAGGGACATGAATTATTGCAACAGTTCAGGTTATAGCTCTTTTGGGTTAAGTCCCTGGTACAATTGAATCTAAGCTATGTGCACACAGTCTTTGAATAATTGATTAAGTGGGTCAGTAAGAGAAAGTGTAGATAGGAGAGGATGCGGCACATTGGTACTCACCTTGGACAGAAGTGGGCTACGAACCACCACAAACTCAAAAGAAGAGGTGTCAAGTCATTGGAGTGTTGAATCAAGATTAATAACTTGAATTCAACAGGCTGTTGTTGGACTGAAGGCAGGTATGAACATGATATGAGAAAAAGCACTTACTGTATCAAGAGCGTTGATGGTTGTCTCGTCCCTGGACGCTGCTAGGCAACCGTCGTCAGGGGAACCGCCATCGCACATCCCCGCAAATGCTGCCATACTCCTGTGATAAAGCAGGAAAATTAGATTTCATTTTTTCTGCTGTGCACAACAATTTTCTTTAGTCTATACTTATCAAAACATTTGGACAAACAAAAACAAAGAAAATACAAAACTCAAACTGATGCACAAATATGAAACTTTTTTTTTATCCTGAAGGATTCCAAAGAAACTAATTTACAAAGTGATGTGAGCTGTTTTACACTGTACAGTGAGTTTGTCTTCTTTACTTAAATATAGGCACTGCAGTTCTTTTGACCCAAGCAAGGTGGCTACTCTAATATATCAACAATGTTCTACATAAAAAGCAATAATGTCGAGAGGGCTATCATTATCAATACCACAGTACATGTCAATTATGTTTCTGATTCTCGTAATCTTTCCCGAAGCTCTTTACCTTCATCAGTAAGTGATATTGACATCATTTTCACAAATTTCCGTTCCCATATTCTAGTGCTGCTATAACTGTCAGTAACGTGCTTGTCAGCCTAACTGGACCTGACAGAAGATAAAAGGCTGAACCAGAGGTCTCCCTCTGCATTGACCTGTCCCAATTGGCTAGGCCCCATGATGAAACAAACATGCCCGAGTTAAATGTGCCAGCTTTTCTGCTTCATTAAACATTCATATTCAATACAGCGTCCTGTAGCCATGTTATTAATACACTACGCAGGCCTGGGACTTAGCAATGACTGTTCAGTTTAACATCTCTTTTAACTTCCATCATATACCACATAATAACAATCCCTTCTAACTATATTACCACATACAGTACAAGAGTTCCATTAAAATCTTGACCTTTTAACACTTTTTGTAATCCAACAACGTGTGAGGCCTAACTAAAGAAGTACTCTGAATTGATGACTGTTGCTACTGCATTGGCCACTGTCCAAATCCATTAGAACCTTACTTGTATGGATAATTTCTTAAACACTCTTCCTGACAAAACAGCCCTGCAGCCTACACAAAGAGCTGGCATATTGATTTCCTATGCTTGTAAAATTTTGCTAGCTTTAGACAGAGGATACAGTAAAACACTCAGGGCTGGCTTCAAAGTGGTCTTTCAATACAATTGGAAATTTAAACATCCAATATGTATGATATACAAACATTTAGAAACAGTTGTATTTGCTACCAAGTGCATATTCACCTGTATTTACAAACATTTGTACAATTGTGTAGTCTCCACCATACTAAAAAACTTTGTCTGAAATAATAAAACGTAGCCAACTAGAAAGAATAATTTGCCAGGGAAGTTTGTTTGGTCACAATTTCATGTAAATATAGGACATCATATCAGAAATACTCTTAACTACCTTGTATACTTGCAAGCTCGACACCTTCTTCATCATATCAGCAAAGTAGTCAAGCAAGAAACTGGCAAAAAAATACAGCCTGAAGCAGGCTTACAACTTGGTAAAAACATTCTGAAATCAAGTTGCAGGTCCTGACCTTGCAGCCCTGAGGTACATAAGGAGGTCACAGTCGTTGACCTTGGGGGTCCAGACCAGCTCCTCCTGAAGTTCTCGGTCATCCTGCCTGTTAGGGTTGTACTCTGGCAGCTTGGCCTGCAAATACATGACAGACAAATGATACGAAATACAGCGAGCATGGAACAATTACATTGTACATTGATTTGTTTGTACAATAACTTAAAAGAGGTACAGTTTTGTATGATGTGGTAAGTTTTACTGTCAAACACTCTTTGTGTACCATTTTTGGTATGATGTGGTATCATGTGCAAATACAACAGACAGATACATTATAAGAGATACAGCTACAGAGAGTATGGAACCATACATTGATTTGCTTGTACTGAAAACAGATACAGTTTGGTATGATATGGTAAGTATCAAGGGATTGTACAACTATATGTATTACAATATTGCCCATTTCAGAGACATTGCTTTGATATTGATTTTATGGCATAAAGTTTCAGGTGCAGAACGTTTAAAACTTGTGGAATAAGTAATACATAATTATTTTAGTATTTTTACAGGACAAAAAGCAGTCAAAACAACTATACAATTTACACAATGTTAGGCAGGCTTATGACTGCAGTATGCCAGGTTTACGAAATGGGAATTAGGAATTATGTCACAACAAAATTTGAAAGGCTAACGTTGTAAATGTACATGTTCTTCTGCAGAGGCGAATTGTCAAGCCACTTTCAGCAGACAGCTTGTACTTTTAAGTGTATTTGAGACCTACAGGAAGGAAACAGGCCGACAACCATCGCAGCAAATTAAAGCTTTGACATCTGCCCTGTTGGCCATTGATGCTAACAGCTTTCCTGAGTGCCACTGCACAGGACTCTAAGCATGTCACACAACTTGGTCATCTGCCAAGTGTCACTCCACATATCTGCACAAATGCTTCTGTTTTAACAACGGAATCCTTCGGAAAGATGTTGAGCCCAGAGTTAACTTCATCACTTCACGCTTGACAATCACCTAAACATTTGGAAGATCTGAGTTGGGATTGTATGACCGGGTGGGATTAACATCAAACCCTTTTCCTCTTAGCAGAAGGGATGAATAGGAAATGGGTAGAACTCATGATGTGGCAGCCAGCCAAACCAACAACCTATATCTACATGTCTCAGGCAAGCACAGTTGTATTTCATTATCCAATTAAAAAACAATGCCACAGTCATGCTGAGATTTTCATCAGTAACTGCCATCTGTAATTAAAATGTAAATGCTTTCCAATACCTATTATCTGGAAACGGCAACCATTTTCATATCTACATGCATTGTACATGTAAGTGTATGATACAATGATACATTTTTATAATTGAACATGTTTGTCAAAAGCACCTCTTAATTTGTGTGCGTACTGTAATTAGTTATACAGCTTCAATCCATTAATCTGTCAGCATGACACAATATATATACATAAGATTGTATTACATATCAGATATGCAGAGAGAGAGAGGGGTGTGTATAAATGCAGGTCTTCACTAAATCCCAATCAGACTGATAAGTGTGTGAAAGGAACATTTTCATAATATTTAGATTAATACATCCTTTACAAAAATTACACTGACTTGACTTGCTAAGGCAAAGCACAAAACAAGACCGATGGATGGGGACATTTTTTGATGCACACAATCGTGACAATGGTACAAATACAACAAGCAGATTAACATTCTTCCTGGGAGGAACAGCATCCCTCTAGCCAATGAGCCATCCAAAACACAACCCTACACATGGCCTCTTGCTGACAGAATCCCTCAACATGTCATCATCAAATAAACATAGCCATTTCATCAAATACATCTGAATCAGCACTGCCAATCTGGAGCTATTTGTCTCTAGCTGCCCCACACCCATCAGCTGCCAGCCCTCGGCCCTATTGGATTGTAGACACAGCACTCAAACAGTTAGACAGGTCAAATTCATTTCATTGTTGGAGGGAGGACATTGGCAAGTTCCATTCCGAGGGGTATAAAGTGGATCCAGGGCAATTTGCCAAACGCTGCCTGGAAATAGCTAACCCTGGGATGGCAAATATGCTGTCGGCTTAGTGGTCCTTGGTGCATTTACAGCATGCGATGTGAACAACATGACGATAACGTGCAATCAATTTAACTGTGTGCCTCTAAGAGCTCCTCATAACAAAACGAACAGTCTAATTAAACATCCACACCAGAATACTTCAGAGTACATTAGTTTAAACTGTTTCTTTGCTTTGCCTACTGATTGAAAAAGTGCAGCACGTCGTAATGTTTTAAATCACGGCAAAACCAGAATAGTATAGTTTGTACAACTTTGCCAACTAGCCGCCCTTAATATTCATAGGTACACATGTTTCCCTCATAAATCTTGACCCAGACAGAAGCAAAGGCATGGCATTTCTTACAGAACAACTATTAGGATGACCTGGGACCACATTGTGCGACTAGAGTTTCAGGTTTGCTGCCCCGTGACCAGGTCACAAACGACAAACCGTCTGCAGCTGTGAAACCATTAACCAATGACAAAGAACTAGCAACCATGACTGACATACCAGCCAGCCAGCTGCTCAGCTGCGTTAGCCTGCATGATTCGATTCCACACCCTCCTAAAACGATCCCATTACAACGTATTCATCACCCAGGGAGGTTATGAAGAAAGTTGCGTACCATTCTGAGCACTCCTGCGACAGTGCAAGAAGGAAGTGTTCCTCTGTTGTCCTACCGGCTTCCCCAACAAAAGGTGGTATGCTCAAATGGCGGCCATCTTGAAAGCGGACTGCCAACCTTTGACCTATGGTGTGTGTTCATGACTAATTTGCCTATCAGCAGCCCGCTGCCCTTTTGTGGTCACAAGTGACCCTTCAGCACACAAATTACACTGATCAGCCTGCCAGAGAGCCCTTTAATTGGGTCATGCCCCAGGTCCAGAAGGAGAAAATTGCACATTTTCACACCCGTACCTTCCCTTTAAACTCTTTCATCTCCCGTAGTACCACATACATATTGGGGTGTATTTGTGAAAGACATTTATTAAAGCAACTTGTGCATGCAGAGAGGATATAGCTGGATATGGGAGGGTAGTTGAAAGGGAGGGTGGCAGTTGTTGGCATGAAGCCCATCACTGGCGCTGATTGACAGATCCACTACAGGGTCATTGGTTTTTCTGGGTCAGTGCACTTTGCAGGAGGGGTGGGCTGGATGCTGGCAGAGGGGCAGGAGCATTTTTGTGCCGAAAGGGAGAGAGATGCAGACAGCTGTCTGGGGTTCAAGGTAGGGTTCAAGGAGGTGGAGGGAGAAGAAGTCCCCAGAAATATAGACTGACACATCTGGGAATACACCATCTGTGCTACACATGTAGACAGAATGTAAAGACTGGTATAGGGATGGCAAAACATTTCTACTTCCAGCAGCTAGTGATGATGTACTCCTATGAAATATTTGTTGTGCCACTTTTAGCAACTGCAGAACCATTAATGTCATAATGCATTTCCCCATTCACTAATCCAGTAAAGCACTTTGTACCTTTGCCAACTGGCTTCCGAGGGGTTCATTTCTTTTAAATATATTTCTGTTAGATGCTTGAACTGGTTAACTTAAATTTGTACAAAGATGCTTGCAGGTGACATTTGCTGCTGAGACTTAAAGAAAATGTTTAAAAATAATTTTGTTCTCTATGAAATTCTACACAAATATATACAATAGCTAAAAGATATACACAAATGTACTGCAATACCAAAGTTTAGTGGCTTGTTTTTGTCCTTTGTCAGTTTTATCTTAGGGGTTGCCAGAAAAGAAAAGCTCTTAAAAAAAGCAATTTCATTTGCGTGGTCGTATCTATGCCTGCATTATCACTTTATTCCATTCCTTTAAAGAATTTGCAGACCATAAAAAGCAACAGAAGATAGTGCGGTGTATATGGATCTCCAAATAAACCTCGGCTACAAAACCAGCTATCAATGGGATTGATAGGACTTTGTTCTGTACCTGGTGACTGGGGCCGACTCGAATCTCCCCTTGTGTGCCGTTTAACCTCCTAGTTTCCGGGTTGTACCCCAGGATGTAGAAAAAGGTGTTGGGGTTCGGATCAAAGGCTTTAGCAGCAACAATGTCAGGATAGTGATGCACACAGCACCTTCCCCTGGAAAATACAGACATACGGATTTTATTACGTCCTACCCTAGTACAACAATAACGATGTAATATAACACTGTAATAAGTACATAAATGTTCCACTTTTCATGAGACATACTTTTTTAACCGGAAAGAAGAAACCTGACTTGACTTATGATTCTTATAAAAACAATCTCTTGCATTATGTTTTGATATGCTAAGCCCTGTGGTATTAATTTCATGGCATGTCAGGATGCCATGTCAACTTGAACATATCTGATTTCCTTGCAGCAATTTTGATGGTTTAGTTTGAGAATAAAACATGAAGACATGTTGGTGTTACAGAAGAATAAAACATGAACTTTGTCATGAAGTAATGTTACACTCTAGTTAGTACTTACCTCAGAGCAGAAACAGGATAGCTGTCTGTGGCATCAGAGATGAAGAGTTCCCTGGACTTCATGAGGGACTCCTTGATCACAGAATCTTGACCTGAACCTGGTAGAGGTGAGAGGAAATTAGCAGAAACTGTGCAGTATTCTGAACGGTCACTAGTTATCAGCTGTGTATGAAATTTTAACTAATTTTTTCCACATTCACAAGCAACAGAAAATGTCAATTCTGTTTTTAGTATAAATCATACACACATACCCATGAAATAGAAAGAGTGCTTCACAGCAATGCTGACATATGGTGTTAGGTGGTAATAGATTCTGACTTAAACTTGACACAGATTAAAGAGGTATACAAACATGAATTAGAATTTAGATGGGATCTAGACAGATTTTGTAGATGTAAGCTTGATACTCACTGTTCTCTGAGTTCCTGTCCTGCACCAGAAGATGGTAAACTGAGTCAGGAACCTCCGATGTTCTGTAAAACCACTTCACTTCCAGATAAACCGTCTCCTTCTTGGTCTGGAGATGAGAAAAGTTTTTTGATCATTAATAATTCTGTCATATATTATATAACTAGTTTTCTTTGACCTTTAGTTGTTCATTCATCACAATAACATCTCCCTTGTACATTACTGTTGCAGAGGTGAATAATTTGCTGACTTTGCAATATTTGATCTCACATTGACCCCAGGGTCAATTCTAAAAGATGTGTATTGAAGATTTTGTTACAGACACAATGAAGGAAAATGGTTCATAAAGAAATTCAATACAATCCATTATGAGACAGAAAAGTACTACAGACATGTGTCTACCCTGTTTGTAGATGACTTATTAAACCATCACATCTTGTTACTGATCAATATTTGTGTTATAACATTCATACTACAAGTTGCAAGGTGTCCACATAATATACATGTCTGTCAAGCTTATGCAATGGAAACATCTGACAGGTTACCCATATCCATATTGACTTGTGCTATAACCAATACAGTTTTGGTGCAACGTTGAATGGAAGGGAGCAAAAAGTTACATGTAATTCTAGAAAGCCAAATGTCAATGCTATTTAGTAACTCCTCCATGCAAAAGTGGTATTAGCTTTGTCAACATTTCATTCTAGCCACACCATGTATAGAGCTTATAAGTAAATTGAACCAAAATTGTGTGTTTTGTCTTTCATTCCCTAAAAACTGAAGGATAATGACTACTTAGGTATTAAGAAAGCACAGATGAAAGTCCATCTGCCAACAGGATGCAAACTTTGATAACGATCTTCGAGGTGTTGCAGTGCACAGTTAGTAATTACTCTATCACCTAGGTAATCTAGCTAACTATAAACACACACTCTCCATTTAAATCTCTTTACTACAGCTGCCACTCCCTAAACAAACATTACTAGATCTCCATCCTGACAATAGCTTATAATTACATAGGCCCCATGGTGCTTTGTTTGTTAACAAACACACTACAGGTGCAACATTGGACAATACCAGGGAGTTTGTGCAAAAATTTCCATATCAAAATAAACTCTGTACAAGCTACAAAATTGTTGTTTTCTATTATCTTTTGGACAGCACAGATGAGGTATACTTGTATTTTTTACTATAGTCTTTCAAATACATGTACAAATTTATGTACCGGTGTTACCATGACTAAAAATCCCTTCCACGTTTTTCACATGTTACATTCTCTTTCTGACTTTCTTTGCATGTATATTCTATAGTCTAAGAGGTACATAAAGTAATATTTTCATTGCTGTAGTTCCTTATATATTATATTATTCCATTCCAGTTCACTCCATTCAATTCAATGAATATGTAATACATATGTTAGTGTAAGTACATGTGTAACAGGAGGTTGTGTTGATCCATTGGAAGTGAAGTGGCCAGTGTTTTGTCAGGCCCTGTATTTGCCTTGTCTCCACATGTTTGTTCAACAAACACTTGTAAGGGAGGGTGCAGTGAAAGGTATCCTGTTCAAGCTGGTGCGGGGCCCACACTACAGAATTCATACAAAATGGAGACTATTTTATCTAAAATAGTATGTACAATGTTTGAAGAGAACTCCATGGCCGTGTGCCTGTCAAAACAATATTCTGCATCGTGTAGTAATGTACATGTATTGTATATAAATGGTTGTGCCAATTAGGTAACATCACCTTTGTTTAAAAAATTGGACGTTAAAAAAAAACACACCATATTTTGCACCCTACTGATGAGAATTTGTAAATCCTAATAATAATAATAAATAAATAAAATAGTACATGTATATTGTAAGTCTATGAGGGCAACAAACTGCAGTAAAAATATATATCCGAAATGATTCGGAACATTGGGAAATAAGCACAACAAATTTGACTCGTGGCACTGAAGGTAAATCAGGACCTTTACTTCGGTCCGCATCCGATAAAAGCAGCATTGATTCCTGGCCCTGAAAAATGCAGGCTCCTCCCGGGCAGATTGCAAACCATGTCCCTTTGTCAGTACATCCAATTCCCAGTCTGATCTCATTCATTTCCTACCCAAGTCATAAGCAAAGGTCAGCTGGCAAATCCCGCCAAGCTCAGACCCTCAACCCTTTACCAACATGATGGATTCAAGGCAGTAAAACTTACCAATAAACGGCAGTGCGCGGATTTACCCAATATTGAACTACAATCCGCCTGTATTTTACGTCGTCTCGTGTAACCTTCTCGCCATAAGGGCAGCCTTAGGACCAGAATTTACAGCGCTGACGAAACTAAACTTTACTGGCAACACTTAAAGTTATTGAACAACTGTGAATAAAAGTTTGAATCATTACAGTTTATATGTACGTTGTTTATTAAAGAGAGGACCTCACAGTTGGTCAGCAGTATGTTTTATTGTTTCTCCACATAAAGTACGTACATCATGAATATCAACCCATTTATTACGGGGCCCATATATAAAACAAGACAAGACTGCAGTAAACTTGGAAGTGGTTCAAGACTGAATCAAGAGTGCTGAAAATTACATCTAAAACTATTTTAGTATTTATTGGCTTACTTGCTTCTAGTTGTAAATGCTATAAATTAGTATATACTTACTAGTGCAGAATTAGTTTGTAAATTGCAAATGTGCTGCTACTTTCTAATTACATG